CACCTCCCACACCCACCCACCACTGACGGCCGGTCTTTGCCGGGAGCCTCCTGCTATCAGGAGCTCTAACAGTTTACATAGGACTTCTGCCACCTGGCTGTGTGACCTCCATCCAAAATAAGTGCCCCGATTCCCTTCCATCCCACCCTCACTATGCAAACTACAAAGGACATTTAAGGACTCTGTCTCATATCCAGACAAATGTTTTAATGGCTTGAAGCCCCCTGAGAGGGTGAGTCAGGCTGCGGGGATCCCCAGCCACAGCCCTCCCGCCCTGCTCTAGGGTGGCTGTGTCCCCCAAAGGCAACCTCAAAGTTGGCGGCTTCCCAAACGAGCCAGCCTTGGGACCACAGCAGGCCCCAACTCACGTCTTCTTTGGTGCCTCTGGCTAGGGTGAGGGCCTTCTTCAGGGAGGGACCGGAGCCTCAATCCTCCCCCCTTAGCAAACATTCCTGCCGCTGCAGGAGGCCTACTGACACCCAGCTCCTGCGGAGTGCTCCCTGACGAGTCCCCATCCGCCCATTTGAAATTCTAGGCCCTCTAGTGACTTTTTAGAAATCAGGCCCCTCCCCTACCCCCACTGATGTTTTGCATTTGCTGAATCCATGGAGAAAGGAAACAGGGGACCACGTTAGAAACAGGGGACCACGTTACCTGGGTCCCCAGATAACCCACATCAAAATGTGGCCTCGGAAATACTAACAAGTCAAAATCTTTGTGGTTTCTTAGGACACAGACACCGTTCCTGCTCCCTCTCGGCCAGGAGCATGTAAAAATAGCAGCACTGTAATCTTCTAGCCGTCGTGAAAAGTCAAGTTACAAGCAGGGGGAAAGGTCCTGCGTGGATACAAATGTGGCTCCCACCTTCCAGCGGAGGTCTGGTGGGACTTCACACGTGCACTTCAAATTCCAAGAATGTCACTCCCGGGAAGTTAAGTATCCCTTTGACTTCAAACTAGACCCAAAGAAAAGACTGTCTTTACCCAGTAGCCCCAATGAACGCCCAGAAACAGCACCCAGTTCCAGCTTCATTTCCTTTCTCCAGCTACAAAAGTGCAGATGAAGCAAGTATTTGTTTGACTTTTCCTATGTAAATAAAGTCTATTATCAGGGCCAGCACTTGGGAAGAAAACAGCCCCTCACAAAACCACCCGAAAGGCCAGTGTCTTCACAGAGAAGAACGAAGCATGGGCTTTGAAAGCTAAAATCTTTTTTAAAACAAAGGCGACCACACTGTTAATCTAACGAGGGCAATTCTGCCCGCAGAGGACAGACATCTGACAGTGTCTGGAGACTTTTGTTGGCTGTCACACCTGAGGGGGGGGTGTACCAGTGGCATCACGTTGAGTGGAGACCAGGGATGCTTCCGAACATCCTACCAAGTGCAGAACAGCCCCCACCATAGAGAAGGACACAGACCAGAGTATCGGTGGAAAGACCCTCCTTTAATGGATGGGATGAAGTCCTTTAATAACAGCGCTGCAAGTGTTTCCAGGACAGAACAGGTGGAACGGAGGGGAAATGGGGACATTTGGGGTCAAGAGCTGGCCCTTGGGTGCCTTCTCAGGGCTTGCCAGTTTTGTTATCTCAGGGCACACCGTTTAACTTCCCTTTGCCTTAGCTGCTGCATCTGTAAAATAGGTTGACAGGGGTGCCTGGGTCACTGATCAGTTAGTTAAGCATCCTACTCAGTTTCACCTCAGGTCATGATCTCAGGAGTCGTGAGATACAGCCCTGATGGGCTCTGCACACAGCTCAGGATTCGCTCTCTGCCCCTCCCCTGGTCATCCCTGCTCTCTCTCTCGAAATAAAATTTAAAAAGTAAAGTAAAATAGGCTGACAAAACTTGATCCGAAGATCACGGACTGAACCAGCCCTGTTCTTAGCATTTCTTCCAGGGCTATAAGACATGCACTCCGATGAGGCTTTCAAATCAGACCCCTATTATCATAAAAAGAGGGGCGCCTGGGTGGCGCAGTCGGTTGAGCGTCCGACTTCAGCCAGGTCACGATCTCGCGGTCCGGGAGTTCGAGCCCCGCGTCGGGCTCTGGGCTGATGGCTCAGAGCCTGGAGCCTGTTTCCGATTCTGTGTCTCCCTCTCTCTCTGCCCCTCCCCCGTTCATGCTCTGCCTCTCTCTGTCGCAAAAATAAATAAATGTTGAAAAAAAAAAATTTAAAAAAAAAAAAAAAAAAAAAAAAAAAAAAAAAAAAAAAAAAAAGAGTGCGTAACCTTACACCTGATCAAGCTACCCCTACGTCAGACTCTGTTACATAGAAAATGAGTCGTATGATATCCCTAGGATCTTATCTGTAAAATAGTTGATTATGAGGTTTTTTTTTAATGCAAAAAAAAAAAAAAACAAACCCCACCCCTATTAGAACAATTATTATTTATTTGGGCCCCCAATAACAATTGTTATGATGAGCCCCCAAGATTTTTCAGTAGCCACTGAGAGGAAGATTCACAACTTGGATTCATCCAAATTCTAGAAGCGGAACAATCTTCCGCAGTCTCTCTCACAACAGCCAATTCCCACTCTCAGTGGTTCTAAACGGACACACTCTCCTTCATCCTTTTCTAATCATGCAACAGTTCATTACCAGCTGGTGCAGGGTAAGCAAGCATCATTGATGACTTAATCCAATGGAAAGGACAGGCATGTGAAATACTGCCAGTACCATGCAACACAACAGGCAGTTAAAAATATAGAATACACACATGTGTGAGCACGTACCTCTACAAGTATATCCAAGTGTACCTGGGAACTTAGGACAGAAGTCCCAAACTCTCCCGAATCCTCTCCACCCTAAGTAAAGAAACCACCAATTTACAGTCACACTGGAGCAGCTAGACAAACCAAGCAGCAGTTTAAGGGGGAGACGGATGAGCATCTCAGATGAGAATCACAAACGTTTTTAGCCCTGCAAAATCCGGAAAACACAATCCGCAAAGGACGAGCACACAGTGCTAGTGGCCTAGTCACAAAAACTTTCAAAACGAAGAGGAACAACACCTTAGCAAGTAGCGTGAAAGCTAACCGGCAGGCCAAATCACGAACAAACGGCCTCACATGCCCCAAAAAGGCCCTGGTGCGTATTTACGGAGTCTTACTGCCCGCCTCTTTCGGTCTAGAACGGGGTCCTCTGGACACAGGGCACAGGAGGCCAGGAAGAACACAGCAGGGTTTTTAGGAAGGAGGGCGTGCTCAAGAATCCCCTTCTCCACCTTCTGATAAAACAACTGAATCTCAGAGTTTTTAAGTTTATTTATTTATTTTGAGAGAGAAAGAGAGCATGCAGGCATGGGAGCGTGAGACAGAGCGGGAGAAGCCCAAGCAGGCTCCGCACAGCACAGAGCCCGACGATGCAGGGCTTGAACCCACGAACCCCTGAGGCGAAACCAAGCCTGACGCTTAATCGACTGAGCCATCCAGGCCCCCAGAATTTCAGTTTTCAGTGACTTCCAACTTTCTTATACTGTGTACGGTTACAAGGCAAGATGTCACCTTAACTAACGTGTTACAATTTGTTCCACCTACTTATAATGACAAGTCTAAGATACATTGAATTGTGTATATCTTTTTTTTTTTTTTTAACACATGAGATGCTAAAGACCTAATTATCTTCTCAACCTTTACCATCAGAAATGCCCTGTAAAACCTTTATTAAAAAGGCACAACTTAACATTCTTTAATATGCATTTATGCAGGAAAGTGCCCTTGCGGGGCAAAGTGTGTACCATCTTTTCAAAGAACTGAATTCGTTAATGGGTTACACATTAGTCCAATTTATAGCAATGACAGCCTCTTTTCCCAGTTGAACATAAATTCAGCGCACATCTAAACAAGCCTCCTCTCAGACTCTCTGGTTCTGTAAATCTAAAAACAGGAGAAAATGTAAAACAGAAAAGTTTGGGGTCTCATTTGCTATATGCACAACAAAGCCACACCACTGCTCAAATTCATTACCGGTGGGGTGGGTTAGGAGTGACTTTATACCTTCCTGCTGCAGGGAAGCAGGAAAGCAGAAAAAGAAAAACAAAACAAAACAACCCAGCAACTCACCTTCAAACTCTGGTAATAGCCAAGAATTTTTACATTTTAAAGGGAACTTTGTCCCTAGGAATGGCCTGATCCAACCCTGCCCAGAGACACTGACACTTTTAATCAGAAGAAAACAGGATGATGGGTTTGTTGTTTGTGTGTCTTCACAGATCAATACAAGTCCAGCTGGTAAACTTCAAGTTCGATTTCTGTTCTGAGACAAGAGAATTCACAGCGCTAAAGCAGCCTCCTTCCCCCACCACACACACACACACACACCGCGAAACACATTCCTGATTAGACATATTAGAAACTTGTTATTGGAGCTCAAGTCCCGCTTTTAAAAAGGACGCTGAAAGTTTCGGTACGTTTCTGCAGGTATCCAGAACGCCGTGGATCTAGGGCTGGAAGCCGTACGTCAGTAAATATTGATGGGCTGATGGGAATCGAGAAGCTGGGATGGCGACAGCTGCTAGTCTGGCTTTCCCAGCGATAAGGGGTACAGGTTCAAGGGGTGCAGAACCAAGGGCCTACAGTGGCAAACACAGATCGGGACAGTTCAGTCCACCCCCTGGCACATGGAGTGGGCCCTCTCCAACCTCTGGGCAGCCCCACAGGTGCAGGCCGCCGCTGGAGAAGCCGGGAGTGACTGGGGACCCAGCCAGGTCCCTTCTTGAAGGGGGAGGGGAGGGGACCCGGAACAGGAGCCATTTAAACTCTGCGCCGCGCTTGGGAGTGAGCAGGGCTGGGAGCCGCCGCCGAGCGGCCGGGGTGGCGCCGGGACCACGCACCTATGCGTGTCCCGGTGCTCCGGTCCCCGCAGGTGACCCAGGCGGACCCGCGCCCCGGCGCTGGGGGCGCGATCCGCCCGCCCCTCCGGCGCCCCCACCCCCGGCGAGTCCGCCGCCCCGAGGCCACCTTTGGGTTGTCACCGTAAGGGTCCCGCAGCCGCCTCACCTTGGTGATGACCAGCGGTTCGCCGTGCTCGCGGCCGCCCTTCAGGGTGAAGCCCCACGGGGCGCCGCCGCTCAGCTGCACCTCCACCAAGCGCCCGCCGTCGGCCGCCCGCGCGTCGGCCTCGGCCAGGCGCTCGGGCCGCGCGCGGGGCTCGGCGCCCTCCATGGCGCGGGGCGCGGAGGCGGCGCGGCCGCTCAGCCCCCAGGGCCCGTCCGGCCCGCGCCCATGCAGTCGGGGGAGCCCCGGCCGGCCGAGGGCGAGGGAAGGTCCGTGCGCTCCTGCCGCTGCCGGCCAGTGGCGAACTTGCGCGGCAACTTGGGAGGAAAGTGCCGGCCGGGGCCAGGGAGGGAGCCGGGAGCGGGCGGCGCGGCGCACGGAGGAGGGCGGGCCGGGCAGGGGGCGGGGCCGGCGCGCTCCAGGGCTCGGGCCGCTCGGCGGGCAGGGGGCGGGGCGCGCGCGGGGCTCCCGGGAGCTGCCCGGAGGGTGGGAGGGACCGGAGGCGGCGCGCGCCCCGGGACCCGTGCGGCCGCTGAGGGACGGAGGGGCCAGAGGCGCTCGGGGCGGGGGCGCCCTGGACTGGTCCCAAGGGGGCGAGGGCCGGCGCGCACACGGTGCCGGTGTCGCCGGCCAGGGATGCGAGTGCGCGCTCGGGGCTCCCCCAGGTTACCCAGAGGGTGGAAGGGGGGCGAGGGCCGGCGCGCGCACGGAACCTGTGCCGCCTGCCGTTGCGGGAGCGCGCCCCGACTCGCCCCCCTCCAAAGTTGCCCGGAGGGTGGGAGGGGGCGGAGCGCGCACTCCGGACCTCGCGCTGCTCGGTGGGGCCGAGGGGCGGCCGGGGACCGCGACGCGAACTCCGGTCCTTCCTCCCGCGCGAGCGCAGGGCGGCCCTTGGAGGCTCCGGGCGCGCCAGCCCTCCGCCCGGGAGGCCGAGCGGCGGCAGGTGAGGCGGCGGAAGCGCCCGCGCGGGGCGGGGCGGGGCGGGCGGGCGGGCGGCGGTCCGAGTCCCCGGCGCCCTCCATCTTGGAGCGCGCGGCCGGCCCGCCGCCCCCGCCTTTGTTCGCGCCGACCGCGGGCTGCCGGCGGCCGCCCAGGTGAGGCCGGAAGCGCGGCGGGCGGCCCCCGGGCGGCCCCGCGCCGGTCCGCGAGCCACAGCACGCACGTGCTTTGTCCCCGGGCGCGGACTTGGGGCTGGCGGGTCCCGGGAGTCCTCCCTGAGAGCCTCCCCCCGCCGCGCAGCCTGGGCCAAACGCTGGCCTTAGGAGGGTCCTCTTAAAGTCCGGGCAGAAGAGAAGGGCGTCTGGACTCTTCCCGGGTGGAGCTGCCTACCCTCCCACAAGGTCCCTGCTGCAGCGCCCAGCCCACATAAGGAATGTTCTTGGCTCTTCGCAGCCCTTGTAGGTACGGTCCGGGAAGTCTTTGCATTCGGACCCTGTCCTCACTCTCGTAGGGCAGTGCCACGAGGTCTTAATGTCCCACTTCTGCATTGCCTACAAAGGAGAGGTGGTCTGAGATTACTGAAAGGGTGTGCCTCCTACCTCTACCCCTTTTCAATTTACGTAAAAGTCCGGTATGAAGAAATACCTGTATTAGTACATGTTTGCATGCTTTGCAAAAAAAAAAAACAAAATCTTTTTATTTTATTTGTAGTTACGTCACTGGACGCTGGTGCTCGCTTGTCTCTTCAAAGCAGCTCTATCCGGGTACTTGCAGCAGGTGGGGATGGAATAGACCTCAAGGACAAGCTCGGAGACCACTGGACAGAAAGAGTGAGGGGTCTCTGTCACTGTGGAGCAGAGACCAGGAACCTCACCTGTGGTCTCAGTTTCTTCAGTGGTCAAGTGAGGGATTTCCATTCTGTGACTGATGGTTTGGGGTATCATCCAGGCAACTGAAGTAAGAGTGCAAACTTCACTCCGCACTTCTGGCTCTGGGCACTGATTACTGCCCCGTAAGTAACGTCCAGAATGTCTCCAGTTAGAGGAATGGGGAGTTTTTCTTTGTGAAGGGAGATGTAAGGAGTGTGTGCCTGTTAGAATCCGTCTCAAGTGTACCTTGACTGCGGTGGTGGTGCAAACCTGCCCAAAATGATTACATTGCACACAACTAAATAGACACAGGGGTGCACCAACGCTGAGGAAATCTAACCAAGCTTGGCAGATTGTATCAATGTTAATGTTCTGACTGAGGTGCAGGTTGCAAACGATGTCCCTGTACTGTTTTTTACAACTAAATGTGAATCTGTAATTATCTTCAGCTAAGACGTTTGATTTAAAAAGTGGATGCGGGGCGCCTGGGTGGCGCAGTCGGTTAAGCGTCCGACTTCAGCCAGGTCACGATCTCGCGGTCCGTGAGTTCGGGCCCCGCGTCAGGCTCTGGGCTGATGGCTCGGAGCCTGGAGCCTGTTTCCGATTCTGTGTCTCCCTCTCTCTCTGCCCCTCCCCCGTTCATGCTCTGTCTCTCTCTGTCCCAAAAATAAATAAACACGTTGAAAAAAAAATTAAAAAAAAAAAAATAAAAAGTGGATGGATCGGGACACCAAAAGACAAAGGGCCATATAAACGCATGTAGAGTTTTTGGAAGTTCCCTAGTCTCAAAACGCACCGCCCTGCCCTGTGATATATTAACTTAAATCTCCGTTAACTAGGGCTGAAATTCAGGCCACTAGATTCACTAAGCAGAGACCAAGATTTCATTGTCCCGTAAGTCACAGCCAAAGTCATCTTTAACATTTTATGTTGATCATGTAATCAGATGACCTATCCACCGCTTGAACGGGTTATACTGTTCATTCTCAAACTTAGGTGGAGGTCGACGTTTATCCTTAGTAAATTTAATTTTACTGAGTTTTTTATTAATCTTCACATTAGGCATTCCTCCCAGCTTAGCATTATTTGAATAGGTCTAAGACTGCTCTATCTATAGACATTAATAAATACAGCAGAAGGGACTGGATCAAGTCTGTGTGGCCTGCTTTGAGATAGATGCCCTCTTCCCAGACCCTCATAAATCCTTTCATTGACAGTCTTGGGTTTATATAGGTGGGCAAATCTACCATCACACCTAGACTTAGACTTCTGTATCATGTCCGTTGTATCGTTATAAGACAGTATAATGTATCTTGGAAACCATCAGTATCTTGTGACTGAAAGGCATTGCCCCAATTTATTAGCCTCGCACCCTTTTTGGAAGAGTTTAGTATGACACTGAACCAGTGTGGACTTACAATGGTAATGGTTTTCTTTTCTAAGAACTCATAACTCAGCCAGATTTTCTAAGGACAGAATATATTTGTTAGCATCTAGCTTTTCTGTTAGAAAGCTAGGGACAAATAGGCTTTATGAGCCTATGTTCTTCTGGACCTGTAGACATGACCCTGTGACCCATCAACATCTAAGCATTCAGTAGCCCTGGGTATATGCCACTTTTTCAAATCTGAGGCTTCCTTTAATAGAGAAGAGACAGGTGAAACTGGAGGTCGTTCTTTTGGTGTCTGGCCGGCTCAGTCCATACAGCATGTGACTCTTAAATCTCGGGGTTGTGAGTTCCAGCCCCGTGTTGGGTGTGGAGATTACTGACAAATAAAAGTTCTTTTACTTTATTGACAGTGAATGAATCAATCAATGAATAGAAGACCAGTCGAGCCAACTTTCAGAGATTTCATCAATAGCTAATCCTTTTTATGAAATAGAGTTCAAATTATTTTAGGGTTCTTTGGTTCTAAAAAGACACGAGGATTTGTAATTATAAAACGTAGTGGAGGATAGAGTACCAAAACTTTACCTTTCAAAGTAGTAGGTTAGTACCGTCAAGCTTTGCAGAACACCTGTGGCAATTTTTAGAGGGCAGTATTAGCCATTTTCTACTTAACCCACTGTGTACCTGAGTTAGGGTCCCTATGAATTCAGATGGTGGAGAGTCAGTCCAGGTAAGAGAGCAGCCACAGGAAAAGAGTGACGCGGTGACTTTGCCCCTCACCACCATTTGTCATCTTCTCGAGTTCTACCAGCTATTATTACAAACATTGGAATTTAATAACTTAGTTGTAGATGTTGGCCCAGAGACAAAAGCTGAATGCTGCATCTGCATAACTGCATCCCCACTTCTCCCCCTCTCACCTCAGAAGGATTTCACCCTGGGTCTTGTTAGTTGGAGCCTCTACAGATCTCTAGAGGAGAGATTTCCTCTTCTGTGGGGGGGTCTCTACCTGTGCATGGCATCATTATCCCATTCATGTAATCCACATTGGGAGTTGGCTTCTAGCACCCAGCACCTTTGGTTGAGGAAGCAAGCAGCCACAGCAACTAAGACATAGTAGCCACGATCCACAGGGAACCTGCTTTGTACCAAGCACATTACATAGATGGACTCAAGTCCAAAGTTTCTGGGAGCATGCATCACCCCAATTTACAGAGGAAGAAACTGAGCCCCAGAGGAGCTTAATAACTCTGCTTGAGGTTGCTGAGCCCCGTCCCAAGGGGGACTCACACTCAGGCTCTTCTATGCACAGGGACCAGTGCTGGGTTGGGTATTGGACGGCAGTTTGCACTGAGCTAGGGAGCTGGCTCTTCTCTGTAAGACCTTTAGACACTGAGCCACCTTTTGAGGTTCCCTTGATCTCCAAACAAGAAAAAGTCTGAAGCATCCTATGTGCAAACTTTGCCTAATAAAGCTGGGTACTAATTTATGTTTGCTTGAGTTCCAATCCTGTTACCTTGGAGACGTGTTCTTTAATTTTGTTTATTTGTTCAGTTTTGAGAGACAGAGACCGAGCGCTACTGGGGGAGGGGCAGAGAGAGAGGGAGACACAGAATCTGAAGCAGGCTCCAGGCTCCAAGCTATCAGCACAGAGCCCGACGCGGGGCTCAAACCCATGAACTGTGAGATCAGGACCTGAGCCCAAGTCAGACACTTAATCCACTGAGCCACCCAGGCACCCTTGAGATATGTCCTTTCAAATGTTATGTGTAAATGGTCACATTTCTGGCTGGTGGTTAAATACACACACACACACTTTTATCAGTGAATGAATTAATGAATAAAAGGCAAATTGAACCAAATGTTAGAGATTTAATTAATAGCTAATCTTTAAGAAATATGTACAGTAAAACCTTGCATTGTAAATAACTTGTTCTACAAGTGTTCCACAAGATGAGCAACTGTTTCTA